AGGGAGGAGCCGGGGATCGAACCTTCGGATTAGTGGACAACCCGCCCTGCCTCTGAGCCACAGCCGCCCATATGAAGTCCTACTGCACCCTTGGAGCTCTGAGCACACTCTGTCCTGTCTTGTAGTTGTTCATATGACTATACACTTTATTTTAAACACCAGCAGCCTGCTGCACCACCTCTGAATAAGTTATTACTAAGTTGTGATTTATGCATTACTAAAAGCGGTTGGACCATGGAGATCAGTCACAACAAAACTCAAGTAACAACTAACACACATGCCCCAGGTAGGTGTAAATCATAAAATGGCAGCAAATTATACTCACATAGCTCTTTTTTTTTATCATAAACTGCATGCCATTTTGCAACACAGTGATCCAGTAGAGAATTTATTGATAGGATATTTTAATATTGATCTATCTTATACAATGTGCTACAGTATCAAGGGTCTCATGCCAGCCAGAAATCTGTGTAGGACTGAAAACACCAAAATATACAAAAAAAATTTAAATATGACATAAATTGATATTTCTGTTTAAATTTGCTTCAATATGTATTTACCTTTGCATTAATTTCCCCTATTTATTTACTTTTTTTTATTTTATTTATTAACTTCTCCTTTTTAAAATTGTATTTATTATTATTTTATTTTTTTTCAATTTTGGCAGTTTCAGACCTCCAGAGAGAGCCAATGCACACAGTAACCATGATGATGATTGATTGGCCACTTGCCTTAGTTATAACTTTACGTCCAAACTCTCCAAATGTCTAGTAAGATTATGCCCAAAGTAATCCTGCTGCATTCTATTTTAGTAGCTGATTTAGTTACAAACTAACTAGTATTTACTACGCCTCTAGTGTTGACTTTACACCTTAACTTACAGCCTGGAAAAACAGCCAGTGTGAGTAGGGCGACTCAGAAGTGGCTGCAGCCAGGTTTCGTGTAGCAAAAACAGTGAAAATGTGTTAATTTCCTTTCCTTTAACTGCAGTTTCAATGTCTATATCTGTGGAATATGTCACAGACATAAAACAGATACAATTAATGTTTTCCTTAACTGAGCATCTCCTGTATCTGTTTGAGATTAAAAGCTCTCTTCAGTTTCTCAAAACTCAATGTAGAACGATTGGACTGGCAGGTGTCACTGTACACGCTCTGTCCAGACCGTCATAGCAGCTAACTCATAGCTGATACAACCCAGTGCAGATCTGATCTTTTGACTTATGACTTTTTTCACATACAGTACAATTAAGCTTTTTCAAAATGCTTCCACAACCAAACAGGATGTTCCAGTGTGGTGAACAAACAATTTGATGTTTGGCCTGGTGTGAGGACAGACACTTCTTGTACAAGGCAGGGTTGAGAAGTGAAGCAAAGTGAAATAATTTACAGTCTTTATCCAGTTGTACATAGGCTCTTGCATATCTTGATATATTTATCTACTGAGAGAAGTGATAAAAAAAAATACAAACCGCAAGAAGGACAAAAAGGGAAGAAGATCTGACTTTTAGGGCCAGGAATTCAACCTCAATATTCATGAAGCAGCAGCTGTGAGTTTAGAAAAACTAGCTTGGTCCAATTTTGCTTCTTGTTTACGTAGACCCACTGCATGCTTCTCGTGCCAAGCACCACAAACCTGAAGCATGTGTTTCCAAATTTCAAACATTACAGCAATATAAACTGCATGTGGTGATTGGCTTGTTGATCTGTGGTATCCTGACCCAAGTGCCTCCTATCTGTTAATTTGTTAGTAAGATTAGTTTTTGCTGCAAATGTCACAAAAGTAGTAAGAACCTTAGAAAATAATATAAATAATAGCAAATAATCACATTAAAGCAAAAAACCCTCAGCTAGTTTACACGAGTCATATACTACTGAATAGATTTTACGATTGTGTGATCTGTACTGAATTTCATTAATGATATTAGCACTGCAGTCTCACACCGTCAGCTCTTTAAACACACAGAGGATGATGAATTTTCGGGTGAAAGGAAGTAATGATAAAAACATTTATGTGACTTGTGTGGGTGTGAAACTGCAGCCACACTGGTCTGCACTCAGTCATTCTGACTCAACTCTTGTTTCAGATGTAAAACTCAACCTGTCTGCCAGCTGGCTGCAAATCGCCCCTGTGAGTGTTAACCCTGGTTTGTGTTTTTCAGCCAGACAGCAGTGGAACTTAACATGCAGCCGGACGCCCACGCATGAGCTCATAAGTTAATATAAAACTAACCTGTCTGAGGTTTGTCAACGCTTTGATTCATCAACCATCAACCTGAGCAAACATACAACTATCAGCAGGTACTTCTGAATCATTTATTGTCAAACAAGATAATAGTATTTAATATTTAATCATGAAAGGATTCACTAGATTCAAACCAACATGACTCAAAGTTTCCTTAAGAAATACATTTGTTTCTGTGTTTTCTTAACCACGATGGAGTGTGAGATGACCATGACAGGTCCTCAGTGATGTTGATTCCCAAGAACTAAAACTGTTTGCCAGCTCCACCTCAGCTGCACTGATGTAGGTTAGTATGTGTTTGCCTCTTGTCCCTAAAATCAACAGTTAGGACCTTGAGAAGTAGGTTTGTTTTCCTCTAGATGATGAAATGTACTTGTATAATGTCTTTCTAGTCTTCCAACAGCAGGATGCAGCAGGAGGAACCGGGGGATCGATCCATTGACCTTCAATTAGTGGATCTGCTCTACCAACTGAGCAACAGCCACCCAATATGAAGACTCAACGTTATAATAGTATAAGTGCACAGCATCGGTATGGAGTTAGAATCATGCCAAAACCTCACACACACACAAAACTTGTTTTACTCAACACGCCGCAACGATTCACAAACAAACTCAGTGTGGTTTGCAAATGCAAAAATCATCACAAACTAATGCATTTTGTTTTGCAAATAAGAAACGTACCTACAAACAAATACCAGCATGCTTCCAGAAACAAATACAGTATGTTTACACATACAATGAAACATATTTCTTCAATCCACAAAAAAATCCTCCAAGTACAAACAATAAATCTTCAAGTACAAAAACAATCACATAAAGAAAAACGTCACGGACTTTGCAACAATAAGACTTTGCACAATTTTCGCTTGCTGATCCCACAACACAAATGCATTAAGTTCCACACACATTTGCATGAACCCAGTGGTACGTCCCACCTAGGGGCGCTAAGAGACACTGGCTTCTTGTGTCCTTGTCCATCTGCGTGTTGTCTTGACCAGTTACTGAGGGTCTTTGATAGTTATTGACATGTAATACACCTTCTCCCCTTTCCATTGGTTTGGCAA